CTTAGAGCATTGGAGAACCAAGTGGGCCAAATTGCCACGACATTACACTCCCACCCATAAGGAAATCTCCCTAGTGATACTAAAATTACTAAACATCTTGGAAAGGAGCAGTGTACTTACACTAAGGAGTGGAACACATGTTAATCAAAATGAAAAATTTGGGGGAGAAAAGTCGAACAATTCTCACCAAGGCATTACACAACCAGAAGATCAAGTCAAAGATGTGGAGAAGGATAAATTGTACGATGAGAAAAAAAAGGATAAGGGCCCTGAAAATCATCAACCAAATAATGAGAAATTTATGGCCAAGGCCAGAAATTCTTCAGCACCAATAGCATATGACGTGAGACATCCGCCACCATTTCCTCAACGATTAAAGAAACATAATGATGATATTCAGTTAAAGAGATTTGTTGATTTCCTGGATCAGTTGTATATCAATGTGCCTTTACTTGAAGCCATCGAGCAAATGCCTTCTTATGCTAAGTTTCTAAAAGACATCATTACAAAGAAGAGGAATGTAGAAAATGTTGCCACGTCCACAGAAATCTGCTCTGCAGTAAGCAAACTCCCACCAAAACAAAAGGACCCTAGCAATTTTATAATACCATGTTTAATTGGTAATAAATTTGTAGGACGAGCTCTCGTTGACTTAAGGTCAAGCGTAAATTTAATACCAAAGTCCATATTTTTAAAACTAGAAAGGTATAACGCTAGCCCAACCACAATTATCCTACAGCTAGATGATCGGTCTTATATGCGTCCTGAAGGCAGAATAGAAGATGTCATAGTAAAAGTGGACAAATTCGTATTTCCAGTTGATTTCCTCATCTTGGATTGTGAAGCCGATGAAAATACACCTATCATCCTTGGAGCCACTGGACGAATCCTAATTGATTGCAAGAAGGGAGAGTTCACAATACGGGTAAGAGAGCAAAGTGTTACAATCAATGTATTCAACTCCATGACATATGTGAACACTTAGAAGAATGCCAATGCATTAGAGACATGGACCCAATTGAAGAAGAGGAAAAGATAATTCTTGGCCACAATGAATTTTTAAAGTTAGATGAATATAATATTTTGTGCAACGAATCAATAACCATGATGCATAAACATGAAAATCATGGCCCAGACGAAATATTTTTAGAATACGGTTATGAGAACTATGGCCTTGGCAATAGCAGTCTGAATAAAACACTAAACAGGTTCATCGCAAATGACACCAAAGCAGATTACGAAGGAAAATCAGAGGAACAATCTAGTTTCATTCATACTAGATCAGGTATGAAATTCGAGCACTTAGATTTAAATGAAGTTAGCCCCCAGAATCTTCTCTACAGCATGCACCTAAATTGGGACTTAAAGCTTTGCCATCACATTTGAAATATTCCTACTAAGTAGTGATGAGACTTTACCAGTGATAATTTCTACCAATCTAACCTCCGAACAGGAGAATAGTTTGTTAAATGTTTTTTCATAGCACAAAAAGGCTCTCTGATGGACAATGACAGACTTGAAGGGAATCAGCCCTACCATATACATGCACAAGATCAATTTAGAAGACAACCATAGTACTTCGATGGAACCACAAAGAAGACTTAATCCGATCATAAAGAAGGTAGTCATGAAAGAAATCATAAAATGACTAGATGCAAGAGTGATTTATCCTATATCTGATAGTTTATGAGTCAGTCCGATGCAATGCATGCCTAAGAAGGGTGTTGTGATCGTGGTCAAAACGAAAATGATGAGCTTTTAACTACTAGAACAGTCATGGGCTGTTGGATATGTATGGACTATAGAAAGCTCAATAAAGCCACAAAGAAATACCATTTTCCCATTTCTTTTATTGACCAAATGCTTGACAGACTAGCAGGAAAAACATTTTACTGCTTGCTTGATGGATATTCAGGATATAATCAAATATCCATAGCACTGGAGGATCAAGGAATACTACTTTCACATGTCCATATGATACCTATGCATTTAGACGAATGCCATTTGGGCTGTGTAACGCCTCAGCTACCCTCCAGAGATGTATGATAGCCATTTTTTGGATATAGTGGAAGAGTGCATTGAAATATTTATGGATGACTTCTTTGTCTCAGGTGACGATTTCAACCGTTATCTCAGAAATTTATCCAAAGTACTGAAACGATGTGAAGAAGCCAACCTAGTACCAAATTAGGATAAATACCATTTTATGGTAACCGAGGGAATAGTGTTGGGTCATAAAATTTCTTGTCAAGGCATTGAAGTCGATAGAGCCAAGGTGGAAGTAATCACAAACCTACCTCCACTCACTAACGTGAGAGGCATACACAGTTTCCTTGGACATGCAGGCTTCTATAAGCGGTTCATAAAATATTTTTCTTAAATCTCAAAACCCTTGCATCTTTTACTTCAAAAAAATCAATCATTTGTATTTAATGATGATTGTTTGAATTCTTTTACATATTTGAAGAAAAAACTTTCAGCAGCACCAATCGTTGTTCCACCTGACTGGAATGTACCTTTCGAGCTCATGTGCGATGCTAGTGATTACGCAATTAGAGCAGTGCTAGGGCAACAAAAAAGTAAACTCTTTCATGTTATCTACTATGCTAGCCGTACTCTTAAAGATGCACAAGTAAACTATACCACCACTGAAAAAGAACTTCTTGCAGTAGTATATGCATTCAATAAGTTTAGGCCATATATCATAGGCACTAAAGTAATTGTGCATACAGATCACTCATCCATTAAATATTTAATCAATAAAAAAATGCAAAGCCTAGGCTAATCAGATGGATATTATTACTTCAAGATTTTGATTTAGAGGTCAAGGATACAAGGGTATGGAAAACCAAGTAGCGGATCATTTGTCTAGACTATATAATAAAATTAATTGTCATGACATGACAGAGATTCAAGAAGATTTCCTTGATGAGAAAATTTTATTTGTCACGGCGGTGCCGTGGTATACTGACATAGTCAATTTTCTTGTTAGTGGTATTGTGCCTCTAGATTTATCTAGCGAAGGCCGAAAAAAGTTTCGCCATGATGTGCGACATTACTACTGGGATGAACCGTTCCTATTCAAATAATGTGGAGACCAAATAATCAAAAGATGTGTCCCAGAAGAAAAACAAAAAGAAATTCTACTTCAATGTCACTCATCATAGTGAGGAGGACATTTTGGTGGAATGAGAACAACGGAGAAGGTTCTTCAATCCGGATTCTATTGGCCAACATTGTTCAAAGATTTGCATGAATTCTACAAGTCATGTGATAGATGCCAACGAACATGGAACATATCAAAAAGACATGAGATGCCATGGCAAAATATTCTGAAGGTTGAACTTTTCAACATATGGGGGATAGAATTCATGGGACCATTTCCCATATCTTTTAGAGATCTGTATATTCTCTTGGCAGCAGATTTGTGTCCAAATTGGTGGAAGCCATCGCAATGCCTAAAAATGATTTCAAGACCGTACTGAGGTTTTTGCATAAAAATATATTCACACGTTTTGGAACACCGCGAGCTATCATTAGTGATAAAGACACATATTTTGATAAAAAAATTAATTGCCAAGACACTAAAACGATATGGAGTGCGACATCAGATAGCTATGGCATATCACCCCCAGACTAATGGACAAGCCGAAGTCTCTAATCGAGAAATCAAACAGATCCTTGAGAAAGTGGTCAACCCAAGTCAAAAGGACTGGTCACCAAAACTACATGAAACACTATGGGCCTATCACACAATATTTAAGACACCGCTAGGAATGTCCCCGTTCAAACTCGTCTACGGTAAGAAATGTCATTTACCTGTAGAACTTGAACATAAAGCTTACTAGGCCATCAAGAAATTAAACATTGATGCTCAGCTTGTTGGAGAAAGAAGACTCTTGGAACTGAACGAAATGGATGAATTCAGAGCCCATACTTACGAAAATGCCCGCCTATAAAAAAAACAAAACGATGGCATGACAGAAAAATATTGCCTAGGCAATTTTATTATGGACAACAAGTACTGATCTATAATTCGCGACTCAAATTATTCCCAGGCAAGTTAAAATCAAGATGGTCAGGACCATTCATTGTACATCAAGTTCATGATAATGGAGCAATAAAAATTAAGAACCGAGACGATGGATCCATTTTCAAAGTGAACGGGTAGAGACTAAAGGAATACAAAGGAGCACCAGTCATGCGCGACAAACTGGCATTAACAGCACATGATGCCCAAGAGTTTTCGAGTTTTCCTTACTCACCTGAACAAAATTCGTTGCCTATGCAACAAAAATCTGAATTTTGTACATAAATAAATTAAATTATTTTATACACTATTTATTTGTTTTACATTATTTCTGTTTTCTTTATTGTAGGCATACAAAGTACATGTGGCAACATGGGGTGAGAACTTACGCATGAAAGGAATCGTATTGTCTCCACTTTACATCCAATCAAATATTGAGCATTCAATGGAAAATCTTTTCCCCTCTTGTTTTGACTAAATTGCCCCGAAGAAACCACCCATTACTTTTCCAGAAAAAACTAACTTCCATCCTATCTTCCTCATCGTGCACCACTTTCTCACCTTCAAAAAGAAAAAAAATTCCCTTAAAAAATTTCCCCCCATCACCGCCACGAAAAACACTGCACCAACGAGTATCATGGCCAGATCGAAGAAAAACCCAGCCCCAACACCAAACTTTAAGCGTTTCCAGACAACAGGATTCAAGAACCTCTAAAAACGATAAGTATATTTGGAGGATGACTTTTTTTTTCCATCAGAAACCGAAGAACCATTCAGACCATAAGTAATGAATGTGGTTCGAAAAAACAACTGGGAGAAATTTGTTAGCCATCCTAAAACCGTAGCACCGACGATGGTCAGAGAGTTTTACGATCATCTAGAAGACCCATCCTAATACACCGTTTATGTCAGAAGGAAACTCTTTCAATTTTCCCCTTCAGCACTCAACAACTATTTCAAGTTGGGGAAAATGGAGGATCAACATAAGAGGTTTATGGCTGAAGCAGACCAAGAGACTTACAGTTGAGTACTCGAAGACCTTTGTTTCAGGTGGGCTAAGTTCAAGGAAAATGTGCAACAAGGAAACGGGTCGATCGCCGAGCCCTTAAACCGGTGGTAAAGTTGTGGAATCACTTTCTCAAGGGTAAACTAATGCCAACCTCATATAACACGACCGTGCTAGTAAAAAGACTTATGCTATTACATTCGATAATCTACGGGAGAGCAATCAATGTTGGAGAACTCATCTTCCAGCAAATCCATGAATGCGCCAAAAGAAACCAGGTAATCTCTTATTTCCTAACTGATAACTGCTCTGTGCAGGAAAAAGAAGGTCCCCAAGGAACCATTTGAGGATTTCATCAAATCCAAGGAGGGAATTACCAAGAAGAAAGTGCCAGAGTTAATGAACTTTGATGATAATTCCCCGCATGAAAGTCTAGAGAGATGAACAAAATCTGTTGTCGCGACAAGAATGACAGCAGTGGTTACCTACACACGAGAAACTCATGAGAAGATCGAGCATTTAGAGAATCACATAGAGATCTTCTTTGGGTACGTCAAGGCATGAGATGCAAAACTCAACGCCTTTTTCAAGGAGTTGCTCCCGATCATAAATGAAAACCTGCCACCCTTCCCCGATGTTATCCTGAAATACACTGCTGGAAACAGCACATTCAACGCCTCGACATAAAATGTTCCCCCAGGTCAAGGCAACACAGATGAATTCCTCAGCTCCTCCTCATTCTATATTTCTGAAAGCACTCAGGAGATTTCACCCGACTTCTTTGCCGATGAAGATTTCACTCCATCCCCGACTCATCCTGAGCAAACACCAGTACAGTCCCCTGTCCGTCAAGAAACGCCAGTTCCTAAAACAACTCAAATCCAAACTCCAGTTCCTGCACAACCCACTCTAGCTGAAGACCAACAAACACCAGCACGAGCTTTGAGCACCAAGAGAAGCATCAAGCGAATGGCGGGCCGTGTCCTTCAGCCACCCCCTCGATGATTGTAGCATTAGATTCAGGATCAGAGAGTCCCCTCCTCCAAAACGACGCAAAATGCGTACGTCTAGTCAAGCCACACTACCACAGTAAGATCGCATTTTAATTTTTTTTCCTTTTAGCATTTCTATTTAGATACATGTAGTTTAGTTTTCATTCATTGAGGAAAATGCATCCCTCAAGTTTGGGGAGGTATTGTAACACACTTTGATAAAAAACAATTGATGATAGTTGGTTAAAAATTTTGGTTGTCATGAAATAAACATGTTAAGCCTATTGTTTGGAATGAATTAGGGATGCCCACTGATGAATGCGTAATTTGATTGCCTAGACCAGAATTATCTTTAATACTGTCGAAAGAATATAACCAACCCTATGTCTGATTCTTTGAAAATATATAAACACAATTGTAGGTTGTCTCTGTTTAAAGTAATTAGTAAAACTTTTAGGAAAGAACTCTCTGCCTGCTGAGACATCAAAAAATTTTAAGGTTAAGGTCGAACTACCTAGTATTTAAAACTTGAAAAATAAAAGGGACACTCCTCTATGTAATGGCATAATTAGGAAACTCCATAAAAAACAAAGAGTTGTCGAAGCGTATGAGTGAATGAAAGTAGTCACATAATGACTCTACTTGACTAGCTTGGGGGTGGAAGGTATGCTCCCTTTTAACTAGAGTGTGGGAGGGTAGGTGTGATGAAATGACTCCAAAAAAAATGTTGATAAATAACTAGGAGTGGAAACTAAGTCTGACAAATAATTTGATGCCTTGACAGACCAGAAGCACTTACTTGAAGTTTTCTAAATACCTTAATGCATAGGCTGATTACAATCACACATACACAATAGTAAGGGATCCTAACTAAATAAGGTACTTGACTGATTTGACAGTTGAACATGTTGAGACCAAACTTTTGCTGACGTCTGAAATTTCAAAACACATGATTTGCCTAATACTGCTTTGCCATGACAATTTTAATTTTTTTTAGCTAATGTCCATTGCTTGAGGACAAGCAATAACTTAAGTTTAGGGGTGTGATAACTCCATAAAAAGACTTTATTTCTAGTCTTTTTACTTAAGTTATTGCTCGTCTAAACAAAGTATGCACAACATATTAGTAGCATTTAGGTTATATTTATTTATAGTGGATAAGTTTTGTTTCGGCAAGATTTATTTGGTTTGACTGATGCTGCTGGGGATAAAGGGTATGTGTGGATTGTGTATGTGCAGGAAATTTACTTAGGAAGAATATTTCAGTCGCGACAACGTAATTTGTAAGGGCCAATGGAATAGAGAAGTTAAAGAAAGTGATGAGCAAATTTATCTCGCCAAGGCAAGGTTTATCTTGAAAGTCTGAAGTAGATATGATGAAATCGCCTATGTCACATGCCAGCTGTATGAATTCCCTCACGTGCAAGCAAGCCCTCAAGATTCTGACAACAGCCAACCATATTTCCTTTTTCAGCCTGGACAAGACAATAACGGGTATCTAGGGAATCTTCACTTATGCGAAACCCTATGAGAATTCCATTTATAAATACCCAGCCACATCCGCCAACGAAGGAGGCAAGGAAGTTAGGAGAGATTTAACTTGAAGTGTGAGCAAGCAACTGTAGTGCTCCCCCATCGTTTACCAACCGACCGTCCTTTGTGTCCTCCATAGCCAAACTGTAATAGAGTGACTGTCAGGCTTCGAGAGAGGCTGACCTCCATGGCAGGTGCGGTGTTGATCAGAATTGTCACGACTGAGCCCCCGGTTTTGGGAGTCATTCTTCCTTTGTTCTTAATTTCTTTACTTATTTGGGGTTGTATTAAAATGATGATACTTTGGTTGACTTGTTGATAACACCATGAATTGTCTTACATGGTGTTAATCTTTGTTTTGCCTAAACAATTATTTTCTTCTTTATGAATGATGAATTATGATTTTGCTCATGATTGTTTTGTTCATTGTTTTATTATTTTTTCTTGACATTGTAAGAGCTTCTAGAGATTACCTTGGGTCCAGGTGAAACACGTCTTGGCAATGTAAGAGCGTCGAGAGATTGTCGTTTGTCTAGATATTGATTCTTAGATTCGAGAGAATTAAGATAAATCTATGTGAACAATGGAATGGATCCGGGATGGTGATGTTCTAACTTGTCTACCTTAGAGATAAGGCGGGTTTCAATCATCTAAAAGGGATAGACACTAGAGTAGGATAGACAACGATTATAGTTTCCGCTGAGAGGTATTGCTACAACAACAGTCTGACAAACCAAGGGTTGTAGTTAACGCTAAGTAGTATTGCTATAACAACCGTCTAAGAATACTTAGTAATCCTGTCGGGTAGCTTAAGCATGTTATAATAAATCCATTCTAGACTTAGAATAATTGCTTGACATAACAAAAGATTAGAATGAGTTCTTTGTGATAAGTCTAAATATGTGAGGTTGTTTTGAATATATTTGAATCAATGTTTGTCTTTACTTTATTTTAATTCGATGATTTTGCATATTTATTTTGTCTCGACCAAACTTTTCTACAATTATACTTTATAATATTTCCTTGTTTTGCTTTATTACTAATAGTTTTCTAATTTGACAAGATTGTAGGAATTAGCTTGTGACAACTAGTTTTGGTTGTGGTGAAGCTTAAAAATATTTGACCAATCCCTGAGGAGACGATAACCCACTTATCCTATATTACTTGATTCGATTGTGTATACTTGCACAGAATTGCTTGACTTAGCATATACATTTACAAGCGTTCAGTCAACATTGATCTTCGGAGTATTCTTAGGCTCGATAGCTTGCATGATCAGCTCCGATGATCCCGTTCTGGTCGTGCTAAAAAGTCTGATAAAGAAATTTGTAGCCACATCAAAAATTTCACCAAGATTTTCTTTCCATTCTCCATGATTATTTAGAATTCCATGCAGCCAATTTTTTTCCTACGCACGTTAGTGTGAGCGATGAAAAACTTTAAATTTCGATCGCCATGCTTCTATCGATCCGGGATTTTTGGAGCCACATGATTTCTTATATATCCAATAGCTCTTTTAGCTCGGATCAAGCATTCACAAGATTTTCCATGTTAGGAGCAGAAATGGGAGCAGTTGATAATTGGAAATTTTTCCTGGAGTTGAACTTTCCTTACCTTTTTCTCCACCTTTATACGCTTCTGCCGTGAGTCAAGTTTAGTACCCAAAATTTTTATTTTATCAATCGTTGACCCCTATTGATTGTGCCATATTGATTGAAAATCTGCTTACAATTATCTTCCCACGCCCAACAATTCTCGAAATGAAAGCTTTTGGCCCGTCGATTTAAATAGTTTGTTTCCATCGTCCCTAGAAAACTTAGAACCATCCCTGCGTGATCATATTCGCTGGTAAGGATTGTAGACACAATCACGTTTGGAAACGTAGTTAACCAATCTCTCGAAGCCACGAAACGGTCAAGACGTTCCCGGATATGGTTGTGGGCCTGATTGTCAAAGAACCAGGTAAACCATCCGCAGTGGGGTCGAATATCATGCAGGTCGTTCCTTTCAAGAGCCTCTCTGAACAGTTGAAGTTCTCCCTTGGATTTCCTTCTTCCCTATTTTTTAGTCGTGGGAGATAATCTCGTTAAAATCACCCCGAAGAAGCCATGGAAGCCGAGCCTTGTGCTTGATCCTGTCGAGTAGAGCCCAACTCTCCCACCTTTCTCTTCTGTCACTTGCACCATAGAACCCTGTGTACCTAAACTTCTCCTCATTCTTCTCTACAATGACATCTATATGCATATTTGAGTACTCTAACATATCAACAATGATATCCTCTTTCCATTGCAACATGAGACCAATGCATTTTCTATCAGTTTCCACAACCATATTACTCAACATATTAATCCTACGTTGTATAACTTTGGCTTTATTTTTTTATATCCTCATCTCACTAAGAAAGACTACATCGGGAACATGCGACGTAACAAGCCGTATGAGTTCTTGAATGTTGAGGGGTTCCCTAACCCCCGACAGTTCCAGGCGAAGAAGATCATGGCTCTTGGTAGGGTTGTTCCCCAGCCTCTGTCGTTACAAAAATAAGGTCTGTAGGTGGTTTCAGGTCCTTGGTACGTGTCTCTTCATCCCGCTGATCAGAGAGAGGACGTTTTATAGCGATCAGGTTAATCACTTCGAGTTTTCCTTGGGGGAGCATTTCACCACCTTCCCTCTCCCTCCAGAAGACTCCTCTTGTTAGATTTTCAGGTCTTGTCTTGTTTCCAGAGTAGTGATGGTTTTTTCCATTAGCACACTATCATTTGGTTTAGTGATTTTACTCCCGCAGTCCTTGTTCTCGATGGCCGATGTCTCCTTCCCCATCCCCAGCTTGTTTGAAACTCTTGAGGCTTCTCCTTCCTCTTGAGTGATGAGAACAATTTCTTGGTTTTGCTTACCTTCTTCAACTCTTCTATTTATTGCTGGTGTAACTCTTAACCATTCATCATAGTTTGTTTTTGAGTTTTTCGTTGTCCATGTGGAAGTGCATCGGTCCTTTCCATGAACTATAATGTCGCAGGTTGCGCAGAAATTTAGGAGCCTTTCGTATTTGATCATCCCAACTCTATGCTTTCCATCCAACCTTTTGCCTAGGTTAATGGAGTGTCTAAAGGGAAGCTTACTGTCCAGCTCCACCCTTAATCTGAAATAGACCCCCAAGTTTCCATTTTTTCCCGACGATCTACTGCCAAGGTCTTTCCTATATCATATTCCCCAGTCTCTCATCAGCTTGTTTGTTCATCCACCCCAAGGGTACCCCATACACACGAAGCCAGATAGTAATGGACCAGGGACCGAAAGTTGTACTCATCCAAGATCAAGTTTTCATCATAATCTTGCAAAGCTAGTCAATCATTATCGAAGGACCAATGGGCTCTTTTAATGATCTGTTTATCAACTTCAGTTTTAAATTTGAAAATGAACATATCGTTATGTAACATCCTACCGTCCAGCAACTTTGAAACTCCCCACACAGGTTTAAAT